TTTTCTAGTCTGGAGAATTAACTCCACGGACTAAGGACGAGACCGTGCGATCAATTGAGGATGTGGAATGATGAGAGGTCGACTTAATTAAATGGAGAAATTATGATTGTTATCAATTTATTCATTTGATGGGGTTAAGTTTACAATTTTGAAATGTGCATTCGTGTGGATGAATGTGATATCGCGAATTTTACATTTGAAACGGAGGGTCATCGCTCGGAGACTAGAGAGGGGGAATATATATATATATGTATATGTATGTGTGACGCGATGTGTGTGTGAGGGGCCTCCGGCGGGGTTTTACAAGTGTAATTGTGTCGGTAGCATGTTTAGGACGCNGATTCGTGGCATGGAAATTATTCGAGGTCGATTTCTATNATTTCTTGGATTTTTGCGGAACTTGGAGGGAACATTGTGTAGAAATGGTGGACGGGAACTAGTCGGATATCATCTATGTAGGGAAACTTGACTGGAACGAGTTTTCTAGCGGGAGTGGTGGTTATCACCCGGAAGATTTCAGAAGGATCTGTAGTCAGAGGGTCAAGGACGAAGGGGATTCTTTCAGGATTCGCTTTTTTATAGGTTGAGGCTAGTCGGATAAAATGTTGAAATTTAGGATCAAGCGGAGGGGTGGTTGAGCGGGTTGAGTCGGAGGATCCACCATCTACAGGTTCGTCTCTGGACGTAGATGGTTCAGGGGAAGGAGAGCGAGGGGGAGGTGGAGGAGTCGGTGCGGATTGCAGATCCGCGGGATTTTCTGCAGGAGGATCGGGGGTTATCGGTGAGTAGGAGGGAGCGTCATACCACGAATCGTCGTGTGTATGTGTGTCTGTGTGTGCGTGTTCCGAATGTGTTGGTGAGGGTGAGTGCGGGGGTGATTGATTTATATGTACATCGGCGGGTTTTCTTATTTTATTGTCGCTGCCAGAATCGTCTCCTAATGTCGGAGGGGTGGGGTCAATGGGCCTGGTCGGCTCCGCTTTGTCTTGCGCGAGCGCTGCCGCTCGTCGCAATTTTGCGTTGCGTCGGTGGCGCTGAGCCTTTTTGCCCGTTCGCGAGGTTCTCTGCCGGGGTTCCACTTAAACGATTTATTGCAATTACAATTTATGTTATTGTTTTTGTTATTGATTGGCTTCGCGACTGCTTTTGGAGATGTCGAGTCTTGTTTACCATGTGGTTTAGGGAAGAAAATGAAGAAAAGAAAAACTTCGGCTGCCACCCGAGACGGTTACACCGCGAGTAGTCCTTCCGATTATTCGGACGCCGCCCAAGACGGTTATACCGCGAGTAGCCCTTCTGATAATTCGGACGCCGCCCAAGACGGTTATACCGCGAGTAGCCCTTCCGATAATTCGGACGCCGCCCAAGACGGTTATACCG